CCCCAGCCTTCAGAGATAGAGGTGGAGTCTCAGGTTCATCTATATGGGCACACAGGGGAAGTCACCAGCCTGTTTGTCTGCAAACCCTACAGCATCCTCATTAGTGTCAGCGACGACGGCACCTGCATCCTTTGGGACCTCAACAGGTCAGCACGGCATTAAAGGTCAAAGTTAAAACCAAAGGATTTCAGTTCATTTGTTGTCTGAATTGTTTGTTTGTTTATTTCAGACTCTGTTATGTGCAAAGCCTCACGGGTCACAAAAGCCCAGTGACGGCTGTCTCTGCAAGCGAGACCACGGGTGACATCGCTACAGTTTGTAACTCTGGTGAGGCCTGATTGCTCAGCAGGTTCTTTGCATTGCTTCCTTCCTGCAGGTAACAGATGTTTCTCAATTCATTCTTTTGCTTGCAGAGGGTGGAGGAAGCGACCTCCGCTTGTGGACGGTGAACGGAGACCTGATCGGTCATGTCCACTGCAGGGAGACCATATGCTCTGTCGCCTTCTCCAACCAGCCAGAGGGCGTCTCCGTTAACGTCATCGCTGGTGGTCTGGAGAACGGCGTTGTCAGGTAATAAAAGATTTTTTTTTTTTCATTTCAACTGCAGCTTTCAGAATTATGTGGACCCATCCATCCATACACCCTGGACAGGTCGCCAGTCTGTCGCCACACAAAAATACACAACCATGCACACACATACTCACACCTAAGGACAATTTTGAGATGCCAAATAATCTAACAGTCATGTTTTTAAACTGTGGAACACTGTGCAATCGCCAGGAGAATCACATGTAGAACATGCGTGGGGAAAACATGCTAACTCCATGCAGAAAGACCACTGGCCAGGATTAGAACCCAGAACCTTCTTGCTGCAAGGCAACAGTGCTAGCCACTGTTTCCACCGTGCAGCCTTATGAGGACCTATTGGTTAAAAAATATTTTTTATTGCTGTAGTTTGATCAAATAACCCAACGTTTTACTTAAAGGAATAGTACACCCAAAACATGATTAGCCTTCATTTTCTACTCACCCCCATGCTGAACAACACTCTGGAGTACTTTTTTGATA